TCCAAGTTGCCGCCATGTGTATCGCATATCAATCGCACTGTTTTGTGCATTTCAAACCCGCGCATGTTTTGTGCATTTCAAACAATCGCACTTTTTGTGATTTCAAACCCGCGCATTGTTTGTGCATTTCAAACCCGCGCACTGTTTTGTGCATTTCAAATCATCGGCACTGTTTTGTGTATTTCAAATCGTCGCACTGTTTTTGCATTTCAAACCCGTCGCACTGTTTTGTTGTGCATTTCAAATCATCGCACTGTTTTGTGGCATTTCAAATCATCGCGACTGTTTTGTGCATTTCAAATCGGCACTTTTTGTGCATTTCAAACCCGCGCACTGTTGTGCATTGCATATCGCTTCGCGCTATCTTGCGCATCGCACTTTTTGTGCAATTTACGCTTGCGCTATTGCGCATCGCACTGTTTTGTGCTTTCAACATTCCGCCTGTTTTTGCATTTCAAATCAATCGACTGTTTTGTGCATTTCAAATCAATCGCACTGTTTTGTGCATTCAAAACCAATCGCACTGTTTTGTGCATTTCAAAAATCTATCGCACTGTTTGTGCATTGCATATCGTTATGCGCTGTTTGCGTATCGCACTATTTGTGCATTGCATTCCATCGCACTGTCTTGCACTCGCGTTGTCTAACGCATCGACTATTTTGTGCATCTGTTTGGCACTGTTTTGGCATTCACTCTGCATCGCATTGTTTTGTGCACCCCACGGTCTGGCGAGACCTTAACACACATGGTCTGGCGAGACCTTAAATACGCCTGGTCTAGGAGACCCTAAATCCTCTGAAGGTGCAATTCTGGTGTTTGTCGTGACCGAAAGACTTTCGGTGGTCTGGTAAGCGCACCTGACTATGTTTGCGGTGAGTTCCTAGAAGACCAACTGGGACGGTGGAAACCAGAGTTCGAATGGCTTGCCTAGAACGCAAAGGTTCGGGAGTTTCCGAGACTAAAGTCTGGTTTAAATACCAGGGGTGTGCCTCGGCTTGAAATCTGTATGGAAGCCCATAGATTTGAGCAGCATGTCTGCACCTCAGTCTTTGGATACTGAACAACCTAGTATATGCCCTGTTGGTAAGATAGGGAAAGCTGCAATCATAGCCGTTGCATATTAGTGCATTGTCATGCCATTTCCATTGTAGCTTGCATGCATCATTGATATTTTCCTAGCAAGTCGCATCATACTGCATTGTCATGCATTTTGTAAATATCAATATCATTCCATTGATATTTGCAGATATTGCATTGTAGATTGCATGCATTCATCTGCATCACCTCCTTCCATCTATGGCTGCGCCTTTCCGGTTGAGCTTGTCTGGTATGTGCCCTTACTTTCCACGTTAAACACAGTTCTGCATGTGTAGCGCCTATTCCACGCGGGTATGTTGGTTTGAAGGTTGCGGCACCTTTTTGTGTACACATGGCTCGTTGTGTACATGCTTTCTACGGAAGATTTGGTTTGGCCCACGTGCCATATCATTGCATTGTAGATTGCTTGCATTCACTGCATCACTTCATTATGGCTTGCGCCTTTCCATGATTGAGCTTGGTCTGGTATGTGCCATACTTCTCGTGTGAAGCATAGTTCAGTAGACCGTTCTATGTAGATGGCTGTATGCGTACATGCCTTTCTAGGCAAGATTTGGTTTTGGCCCGCGTGCCATATCCATTGCCTCTTCCTAATATATCCATACTTATTACATTGTAGTGTAATTTTGCATCCGACATTAGGATTGTAGTCCTTCCCCAGCGGGCGTTCCCCACTTGTGTCATTCCACCCAATACTTGTTCTTGTGTCTGTCTACAATGCTCATAGTTCAGTTGACCGTTCTATGGTAGACAGACTTGTTACCTCCATCAATCTATTTGGACATAGGTGTGGTTTTCGAACCACTCGTGATTGGATCGCGATTCAATTGCTTTGCATTTAGTTTGCATTGTTTTCAATTACATTGCATCTTCATTTGCATTGTTTATACATTGTTTTGTATATAATTGCATATTATTTCGCTTTCATTTGCATTGTCATGCATGTTGCTAACAATATTGTACTGTTAGTTTGTTTTCTTTGCAGGCACGATATTGTATGTAACGGTTCATTTGAGGCTGGTGCAACAGACGAGTCGCACAGGTATTGTATCCTCCGAGTGAGACGTATCGAGAATTGTATAATTCTCTTACATTCCCTTTCTGCATTGTAGTGTAGTTTGGTGTATGCTAGCTTAAAATTTGTCGCATGTATGCTTCATTACAGCTTTCTTTGGATGACCATAAGTTATGCTCGGCTTCGTGCATTGTCTTGCATTTTTGCCCTGCCTTCGGGCGCATACCTTGTTTGTCTTGCATGTTTGTCTAAGTCTTCGGCCTTGTCAAAATGGGTCGTCTCTGCTTTGACATTCACTCCCGTCATTGTTATGACTTTCGAGTTCTGTCAAGAGGGGCAACTGTTAGACCACCATTTTTTGCCCGTCCTCACAGACTTGGACGTCACCGTTTGAACACTCGGTGATCATCCATGTTTGTGTCGTTTGGAGTTCGGAGGTCTCGGCTACGCGCCTTGCCTCAGGATCTCCGAACTCCGATCGTTAGTGTCTAGTTTTGCACCAACACTTGTGTTTTGCCTTGGAAGGGCAGGGTAGGCCTTGTAGACCATCCCACCCACCCCGGCAGTGGCTAGAGGCCACCGTGGTTTTGCTTCCATCGGCACTTTTTATTGCCGGTCGGCACTATTTGTTGCCGGTCAGCAATTTTTAGTGCCGGTCGGCACTCAATTTTGCCAAAATGGCATTTTTGGCGGGCCGACAACTGGCATCTGCTTTTGCAGATATTTTAAGACAGCTGTCTTGCTTTTTGTTCCCTCCATACACGTGTATGGGAGGATCTCCCTCTTGTGAACTGTCTTGTAAGCTTTACAAGACAAAAGCTTCTATATAGAGAGGGGCTCTCTCTTGTTGCTAGGGTTGGAGACTTTAGACATTTTAGAGAGGAAAACATAGACCAAGCTCTGGTTTTAGGGTTGAGTTACATACACATCCTATCTCTATATTACTCTTGTGTGTGTTTTAGTCCATACTATTGCGACACAAGCACCTAGTGTTTCACCTTCCTCTTGAAACTAAGGTTCTAAGGGCTGTTTCTTGGGTTCTTCACTGATGGTTTGAGCAAGGAGGGCATTGACGTCAACTTGTAAAGGGGTTTTCAAGGTGAGAATCTTACCCTTTTTACCCCATTTTTGCATCTTAGTTTTACCTATCTTAAAATCGTTTTTGAGATTAGTGTATAAGAAAAAAAGTTCTTTTTTAGAACCTCTTGGTTGTTTATTAAGTGTTTTGTGGTTTGGAGGTGTTTGACCCCTCTAGGCCTAAAGGCCTCGTTTTTGTGCTATTTGTGCAAGTTTCGAGACTTTGGTGTTTGGGCCTCTTACCACTTGAAATCTTGAGGGATTTCAGTGGGAAGATGGTGCCTTGAAGTCCCAAGAAGGAGAGGGCCACCCCCTCTCCTTGTTGTCCTTGAAAAGGCGATGTTTGGCTTCTTGAGGAGCACCATGTAGAGTGTATATTGATCATGCTTGGCTTTTTTCATGCTTAGTATGTTTTTATATACCTCTGTTTTTGGTTGGTTTGGTACACCATACATGCTTAGCACACCTACCATGTAATGCCATGATTTGCCTCAATGTGCCTTAGGTTGTTAGCCTTTGTAGAGATGTTTTAGGCTTGGTTTTGTGGAAGGTTTTGTGCTCACTTTGCTATGATTTTAGCTCTGTCCATAGTCGTTTGGGTTGATCTTGCATGCATAGTATAGCTCCTTGCATTTGAGCTTGTATGCTTCAAGTATGTGAATGTGTAGAATGTGTTTTTCTTGCATCATTTCGGTGGTTTGAACACCCACAATGTCATTTCAGTCCTTTTAAGCATGAAATGTTGCATTTTGTGGCCTTTTTGTTGCTTCAAGAGTTTGGTGCTCCATGCTTCATATTTGTGCCATGATGTATCCTCTAGGATTGGTTGCTTAAATGCCATTACTAGTGATTCTTGAGGCTTGTTTTTGCATGATTTGGGACTGTTTTGACCAATTGGTCATTTGCTTCATGAGTCATATGATCATTGTTTAGGTCCTTGGGCCTCGTTGCATGTATAGCTTGCATGAGTAGGTTAATTTGGATCATCTCCTCACATGTTTCCAAAGCTTATAATGCATGCTATTTGCTATGATACCTTCCTTCAAATGGTGTTTGAGAGTTGTTCAATTTGTGCCTAAGTGTTAGGCCTTTCAACATGTGTATTGTGCATGTGTATTTGGTCCCTCATTTAGCACTTTGGCCTTGTTTTAGGCCTTAATTAGAGCTGCCTAAATCATGCTAAGCCCATCTTGACATTGTTGGTATTCCTCATGTTTGCTTGTGTGCTTGCATAAGTGTCTTGCCATGCCATGTTGCATCCTTACTTGTATGCCTAGGTTGCATTGCATCTTGC